AATTTGGCGTTTAATCTTACATATATAATAACATACATGTAGAAAGGTGCCTTGCAGGTCTAGGCCCGGCAATTTTAACTACATATATATAAAAAAATATTCGAAATGCCCGGCAGTATTGCATGTCGAGGTTCTTTATGAAGCTCATGTATCTATAAAAATTTGAGAGTATGTATATTATTCATACATAAAGAGTCAGTAGGGCAGTGTGTAGCAGGTTGGAATACAACACCAGCCGTCCGGGTTCGATTCCCGGCCGCAGCTGATATCGAAGCTAGTGTTCAGTGCTCGGAGAATTACTTAATAGGGTATTGTTTCCAGCAATATCAGCCTAGACTGGATGCTGGGGAGGTATAGGACGCTTACCGTGGGCACGACGTGAAAAAAGTGGTTTCATCCATTCAAAGCGGGGACCTTTCGTCGATTAGCCACGTTAAACAAGAAATTTAACCTTTTTAATTTTAATAGGTTGCATGGAAAATAATTTCTAATTTTGGCTTTTGATAAAACTTTTGTAAATTAAACATGAAAAAATTTGACTTAAAACCTTGCGATCATGTAATGCAATATAAACATTTACGATTAAGATAAACCCTAAAAAAAAAATAGTTCATTTTAATAAATCATTTTTTCTCGTTCGTTCCTTTTCGAAGGGGACCAACCTGGTGGGTATTGGGAATTTTTCGTAAAGTAAACGAAACAAAGAAAATTTTTTTCATTTTTTAACCTGCCCGCATGTAGACAGCTTTTTGTTTAGTACCCTTTTTTCAAGATGACCGTAAATCATAAAAGTTGCCTCTGATTTATATACATAAAAATCGCTTGGGCAACAATGTTCGTTTTTTAAACATTTGGGGTATGCTGATTTAATCATGAACAAATGGGCCGACACAGATTTCGATTTTTTAAAACAGGGCATCTTTAAACCCCAAATGATAGATAACTTGTTTTATTCCTTTCACCGATTTAATTATCTAAACGTTTTGAATTTTGTTTCGTTCCGTTTCGCAAAATACCAATACCCGTGTGGGTAACGGTATTTTGCGTAACGTAACGGAACAAGACTAAAAATTAATGTTTTGCATAATATGAGTTTCAGTGGACATTATACACCATTCGACTATGATTATACAGAGTTCATATAATTTACTATATAAGTTATTATTATGATTATGTTGATTTTCCAAATTTTAAGTTGACTCCTTAATTTTCCCTAAATGGTGCCCCTTGTTCCGTTTCGTTTCGTTACGTTCCGTTTCGCAAAGTACCAATAGCCTCAAATATGCGAGTTTTTGGAGAGATTTGGAAGCACACTTACAGTGTGTAGCGTTTATTTATTTTTTTGTTGTGAAGAGAATATGAGTATATTTGTAAATATTGGGTGCTTTAGTTTGCTTTACTGATTAGATTTTGTGAAATTTATATTGTTGGTTAAATGTTTGTGGTTTATGTTCTAAAAAAATCATTTTTGTGTTCTTCATTTTGTGGTGATTTTATTGTTTTCTTTGATCATAAGTTGTTTAGAGCTTGGGCTCGCCATGTGTCTAGTATTGTTTCGTATAAAAGACGTATACGTCAAAAGATATTTCGTATAAGTGGTTGATAAATGATGTGTGTTGGTTTTGGGTGTAAATTATGATCAGAGTTCTTTGTTTTTGTTGTAAATAATAATCAGAGTTTGTTGTTGAATGTATATATTAATTTGAGATAGAAAAAGATAAAATTACCTTAAAAATAGTGTTAACTAAACAATTACATGCTAATTCTCCATCTGAGAATATTTCAATAATATTAAGTCAGGCGATGCTGCCCAGCCCCAATATTTCCCAATCATTTCTTAGAATAAATAACATGAAGGCAGTCATTCCATTCACCTGGCATGATAGCAGAAATGTTTTAGGTAAATGATACTGTTTACACAATAACGCACATTTTAATTGGAGAAATCCCTTCACTTTGTTGAGAATGATAGCTGTTGATATCCATTTTTTTAAGTATCAATTTGAAATTAATGAATCTCATTTAAAGCATTATATTTGAACCATCCTACAAAAAATGAAATTAATCATAATATTGTTTTCTGAAAAGGGTATTATTTTTTCATGTTTTGAAAAATAATAACAATAAAAAATTTAGCTACAACATCACCTAGTACTACTATTATATGACCGAGTGAACCGTCTAAACATGTTGCTGCTCATTTAACTTGCGAATACCTCGCCAATAATTCCTTATAGCAGCTTATACAGAGACTGATGCGAATTGTCGATTTGTTTCTATTGTTCTCAGATGCTATTCGACCAATTAGAAATTCTTACGTTCACGCTATATAAACAATTGAATAAATCTTTCACATCTGCAAAAATTACTTTTGTACGGCGAGACATTAATTCGGTGGAGATTTAGTGCAAGATATGGTATTTTATAATTATACCCAGGTAACAGAATATGAAAAAATGTGCTTTTTTCTTCATAGAGTTTAGCACATTGAAAAAGTAAGATTGAATTAGAATAACTTACTCGGGTTCCGCCGACAATACTACTCGAATTGTGGCATCCTGCAAAAGTATAAATGTGACTGACTATATTATGACATGTGTTTTGTTTAATATGAAGTAACAAATATCGATCATTTTATATATTTATGATATCTGCAGTAAAATTCAATTTGAATGAGAACTTAATTATATAAGTTATAAACTGATTGCCACAAGAATTCAATATCATATCTCCTAGGCAATTCTGATATAACGACTAGTATTAAATCTTTACTTCTTCAATGTAAAAACTGTCATACCGAATGGCTCAAATAAGTAAACAGACATTGATTTTGACTGAGTTCCTGTAGAACTATTACAGCATGGTTTAAGTTCAGAATAAAGAGGTTTTATACGTTAGAGTGAGCGACGAATAACAATTAATTTAATTGGTTAACCAAGTATTATTGTAAAGAACGCAAGAATATTGCATATATTTCCATTCTTGCAAAGTGTCCTGACAAAATAATTGTGTTGATAAACGACATAATATCTCAAACTTAAAAACATTGATTTCAGCAAATTAGTGTCGAAGTTTGTAACGAGTCTTCAATTTTATTATAAAATCGTTGTTTTAATTGTTTCGAGTGATCTCCCCTTTTCCAGATATATTGCTCTCTGTCTAGAGTCCTGCTTACAGTTTCTTTTTAGAATTTTAATTACTTTTCTTAAGTTGTACAGATTGAAGACCAAAGTTTTCGGAATAAAATTCAAAAGAAGTTTTTGTTCATGTTCAAAATGTGTATCTGAAGCCCCTGAATAAGTGTTACCTTGTGGAGGGATATGATTTCTTCCCTCCTCAATCGACGCAATTCCTTTAAACTTAGCTTGATCTTACATGTCTTGGTTGAGGAGATAACACTTCCCTTTTTTACACTGCCTTTCATCAAAGATATTTCTGTAAGTAATAATCTTGCAGTTTTTATATTTTTCGCTTCTCATCTCTGTTCTAATGAAATCAACAAGAACATTTTGAAAACAATAATATAGACTTTTTTCTCAGGTTTTGTAACTTTTAAGACATAAAGATTTGAAATACTACCAGGTTTTCATATGAATGATACATTTTTGTTATCATTTCAAAGTTTGTTGTCGCTTTTTTCTGAAAATATTCTTAATTTTTAAACGTACCCATTTCGTTTCCTTCATTATCTTCTAAAAGAAACTCGAACGTTTCATTTTCGGATGTTTTGGCTTCACGTACAGCATCTGGTGCTCCCTTAACAACTATTTTAATACACATCTTCTCACCGCATTCTTAAATATAAGGGTATTCAAATCTAAACATAATTTTATGTTCCTGTCAACATAAAAACGATAATCGGGAGTCGTTTGATCTCGGTAAATAAATCTACTCTAATCTAATACAATATACAACATTTGCTTTTAAATGCTAGATCACTGCTTATAAAGAGATTGTCAAGTTTTGATCAGTGAATAGAGTGTGCAACTTGCGTTTGCTATAGGGAAGTTAGTGTGATTTATGATAAAACATATTATTATTTCGTTATGCATATATAAACATTTATAATCAAGTATACTTAAACCACTCTCTGTGTATAATCTCGTATATACCATTCTATAAAACCGCGTATCTTCTTCGAAAGTATTTGAGACGACTGACATAGAAACAAGTAATTACTGACGTGTAATATTTTGTGTATAATAAGTTCGTTTTATCAAGTCTTCATATGTTCGAGTTAGACATTAAAAGACTCAAAACAGGACAAAACAGAAGTTTCATCACGACTTGTATTAACACAACATCTATAAGTGATTCTGTTTACATGCATAATTCCAGCTGCAATGCAAGAAACAAACACAACTATTTCATACACTTTTTCAGGAGGGAGTTTCATATTAGCTTTATCTAGGAAAGAGACGCCTCAACATGTAATATAATATTTTTAATTCAGGATGATTATCCTGTCATAAACCTATATAACAAATAATATAATTATGATCTATCGCTTTCAATTTGTCTTAAATGTTATCAGTTGGAAAATTTAAAGCGTCAAACGCAATTTCAATGAATCTAACAACGAGTAAAAATAACAAATAATATAATTATGACCTATCGCCTTTAATTTGTCTTAAATGTTATCAGTTGGATAATGCTTTAAATTAACCAACTGATAACATTTGAAACGAATTAGAGATGTTAGTCAAGGTTTCAAGTATTTACTAAAAATAAAAGCTTCGGAATCAATGTCATTTTTGTAAATTTTGTAGAGTAAGTTTACAATATATATTTTTAAGAATTGGCTTGAATTTAAGAATTTATCTATTTCTCTTTATAGAAAATCTTTGATCCTTACTTGTTTCCGACCAATTGTTCGAAAATGTGCAGTCCACAATTTTAAGTTGAAAAGTATACCAATCCCCTTCCTTTACCTACAAATAAACATATTGTTTACAAAAGTCACCATTTCAACAACTTACAAATACAAATCAAAGTACGAGTATATAATAGCAATAATTTTATCCATGGCAAAAGCACTTTTCCAAACAAATAAAAATGTAACAACAATGTTTTACCGCTACCCTACAAGTGAAATGTTGAAGTAGTCATTTCTTATGTGATTTGTACTATATCATATCAATAGAACTGAGATATGATTATATTATTTTCTGTTGCAGCAATTTTCAGTGGGTTTGTCCCAAGTCTGTATTTCATGGAATTCCACTCAACAATGCTACATACTGCATTGCATTGCAATTAAGTCGTCTTTATGACACAGTTTTCATATAGACTTTTTAGGGACTCCAATGCAGTCTTCACAAGAAAGGACCGAAATTTTTTTTAAAGGTTTCTGTAACACAAAAAGGCCTTAATCAATAACACGAAAACGAAATTTCAAATCATTCGCTCACAAGGAATTTATCAATTTTATAGCAGTAAAAACAATATAATGTGACTTTTTTTGCTTTACCACAAACAAAACTGTTGTTTTCTTTCATATCATGTATAGTGAGATGAGATTAATTCTTATCAGATTACATTTCTTATGTACTGAACTTACTTCAAAAACTCCAGGCGGATCACCCCTGTAATATAGAAAAAAATATTTGTACATTCATCTTTTAGACTGCTAGAGGCAACTGATTCCATCCGTGCGACAAGTGCAGTCTATCAAAGCCGGCTTGTCCATACCTACTGATCATGGACTGCACTGATCGCTATTCAGTCAGTATATATATTCAAATTTTTCTTAGAAATATTTATAATATTCCCTCAATATGATGAGATGTTTTGTCAATATTGAACGATGAACAAGACAATTAAAGATTTTTTTCGCGGGATAAAGGTTAAGACATCGAATCTGTAATTAAGAAGGAAAGAAAAAGGAAAATATTATATCGTGAATGGTTAAGTGTTAGCAATTATTGCAAGAAATGTTATTATACACATTATAATTATTATAATCATTATCACAGTTCCTCATTTTGTTAAACGTGTGATATATATAATGTAATATAATATAATATATAATTTGGTTTATACAGAATTTATTTTAGTTCGATTGTGTAGGAAGCTATTAGCTTATAAACAAACTTTCTTATCCGTTCCTGGAACCAACCAGTACTGAGCAATGAGTGTATATATATATATATATAAAGCGATTGAAATACAGTATATGTTTCAATAAACTTTTCCACATGCAAGACAAAAAGAAATGGCGATCACTCTTTTTTAAAAGAAACGTTGATACTTACTTTGTCGGACTGCAGGTTTTGTGTTTATCAACAGTATCTGTAATGACGAATTTAAACATACGTAATATGTTTACATACCACGTAATTCTTTTATTTACAAAATACAATTTAAACACATTAAAACAGCTGTAAAATTAATCTAGTGCAATGTGCAAAGTAAAATTCTTATGTGATGAAAATTAAGAGACTACCAATATTACAAAGTATGTCGGTATTATATATATCCAACATCATTATATTATCTTAATATAGCTGTAATCCCATTTGTCCAAACAGTAGTCAACAGAACTTTTTATAAAATTATATTCACTGGTTGCAGTATCATTTTCACTGTCTGAACTGGATTTTCTCAGTCTAAAATAGATTGAGACTCATATTCAATGACCATACACCATAGACTGTAAATTACGTGTGCGCATTAAAAATAATTGTTGCGTATTGTTCTTTATGGCATATTTCTCGATTAAAATATCATTTCTTTTACTATTATTATAGTTAAAGGTTACACCGCAATGATGAGTATAAACTTGAATAACTTTTGTATGCGCAGCGATCGCGTAGTCGTTGCATGCTTGACACGTGCGTCTTTTTCTACCCGCTTCAACGAAACGGACAAAAGTTGTATAAGGCTGTATTTTTGTGATTTCTTTTTAAAAGTCTTAGCCTTTTTATATAATAAAACAATTATTGACTAGTCTGCCATTGGATATGATGTTATATTCACCGGCAGAAAGTCATATTGACCTCGGCTATCGCATCGGTCAATATGTCATCTGCCGGTGAATATCATATCATATTCAATGGCACACTTGTCAATAATTTTATAATATTTCACCACTTAAATATTATGAAATGACAATCATATAATCATGCATCTAAACAGATATTTAGTCTGCAGTAAAAGGACGTTCTGGAGTTATTGTTTTTAGTTCTAAAAATGTCAAACAAAGTTCAATTCTTATTTTTGATACATATCTATAAATCGGTCTTGATTCAAAATATTATATGGCCAAAATATTCTTTTAAAAAGGCTCAAACGAACTGTCTATAACAGTGAAAATTTACACAAATTGTTTAACATTGGTCCCAGAAAGCAAATACATTTATGTTTCATGCAAAATAAAGTTTTTCATAAACTTGATTTCCGCTTAGCTAACTGTCTTGCATTATAGTTCGGAAATTTCCAAATGCCAGTGCGATTTCCAAAAATAGTTTTCATGGCCAGACCGAGTTACACGATCAGCCTTGTTCATCAGTTTAAATAACCAGAACCGTACGAACACTTTTGTGTGTGCTATCTGCAGTCTGCAGAACATTTACTACTCCCGTTCATAAACAGGCCGAGTTAAATAGAACCTGCATAAATTATGAATATGACTTATCGGTCGATCTGTAAGATGTATATTATTAACTATTTTATTCATAAGAACGCTCTTATTCTTGTTGCATATGTATATATAAGATATAACAAACTATAAAAAACGCATCGCATCTGTGACCTCTTCAACTGATATAATTCTTCGCTAATAAGTTTGGAAGTCTCGCTACATGAATAGTGTTTTTAAAAAAACAAGATTGCATTTTTGAAAAAACGATATGCGTTAAAACAACACTAAATAGCAGAAGCAACTGTAGATTTTTTCTGTTTCTTTACAATTGAAATTTGCCATTATGCAGAAGTGTCTAGTGACTTTCAGGGTCAGGGTTATATATTTGCATATACATCTCATAACGTTCCGGACATCCGGGATTGTAACGGAAATCAGCCGGCCGTCCTGGAGAATTTTTTTTCGGGTAAAAAATAGAAATCTGGAACATATTTGCAGCAAGAACGATTGCAATTTTATGCAATTATATTTGTAAGTTAATTATTCTAGCCGTTTATGTCAGAACGATGTCCCAAGAACTGTTGACACTGATTGGTATAATTATATGTGTGACCTTTCTCCTACAATTAAAATATTGTTTACCGGGCAAACATGCCAGCGACTCAAGTTGTTACGTACATACGTCGAAAAGGTCTTGATAAGACCGCCATGTAATGATGATTGACACTTCTAGCGCACCAAACGATCTCTTGTGCCTGTAAATCATTTGTCTCCAGGTTCAGTTCATGTAAAGGAAATAGGTGTGAAATTGAATCATCTTGTCTTAAGCTTAATGGTTGCGATTTTGTCTTTAGTGTCATTATATACATTTGTAAGAAAATATTTGTATGGAAATACTTTTACTTCTTCAAATGTTTGCATATTTGCACTTATTTCGGATGTGTTGCGATTTTGTGCATTATTTATAACAACCGAGTCGATAACATTCTTGGAATTAACTGTATTATTAAGCTGTTTATAACTTTGAAATACAGTCACAGTTATTTTTCTTCAATACAATCTAATTGATTAAGCAATTTACCTATTTCTGAAAAAATAAATAACAAGAGGCCATCGCCCCGAAAGCACTCACCTGACGACAGACTGTTATTTGTATAAAAGCAGTGAAAGAAGCTAGCTTGCATTTTTACAAGAATTTGGAAAATGTTGGTCACTAGACCAAACTTCATGCAAAATGTATTATTCAAAGTTACTATACATGCTATATACATGGTCCTTATTTCATAGCTGTATATCAAAATGAAGAAAGTAGATCACTAGATCAATATCTAGGTCATTTCTTACACCTGAAATTGTGGACTTGGTCAAATGTGATAGCTGTATTAAAAAAAAAGCCGAAAGAGGTCCCTTTATCAAGATCTAGGAAGGCTAATACCAAAGGTAAATTTTTCATCTTAAACTGTGCACATGGTTCAAATCTTATAGCTGTAAATCAAAGGATATGAAAGTAGGTCACTTGTCAAAACGTAGGTGAGCTGATATCAAATTTCAATAGATCTGATTGCAACCGTATTTGTTTCGCCTACATTGTGATTTGGATTTCCCGAGAACGCCATTTTACCCATTCAATCTGTTCTTATAAAAAAAGGCATTACACGTAATATTATCAAATCGTTGCCCGGTGAAGTGAAACAAATTATTATTTTTTGTTAGAAAAAACATGTTTGAAGTAATTCGAAACAAAACAAAAACAACTGAAAAATAGACTCAATTTTTAAAGATCAAGATTATATGCCAGCTATATGGACAACGCCATGTTTGTTCTCGATATCGTGAAAAGTACCTACTCACAATTGGTTTTCTAGCGGTTAAGATAATTGGCTGTTAAATAGGTAACGAGAAGGTGAAACGTAAGATCATAATGAGTAGCGTTAATTAGGATCTGGTGTTTACCAGATTGGTTTGATACATTACACTCATACAATGTATATAGAAACACCAAATGTCGCTAGAAATACATCATCGAAAGGAATGAATCATTACCAATGGATATTATGATTTTTCATTTTTATGTTCTCTTCTTTACCTCGAAAAGGAAAAATAACAGACAAGGACTTATCTCCCCGCAAAAAATATGGGTCACCTTCCGACCTTTATGAGTTATATGCCTTGAGAGTGAGATATTTTCTCGTTTATGTTAATTTTTGGGAGCAAATATCTTAAAATCAGGCGCAATAATGTTTTGTTCGATCACATTTTGGTATCAACTTTGTATTTCAAGCCCTTTTGGTTTCAAACTTATTATTTTGTAGTCAAATGTAAAATTACATGAAGATTCAACAAAGATTATGCCGTATTTATTTTTAACAGATATTTCCTTTTAAAATTTAAATATACTTTTTTATTTATTTTAAGTTCTTTAACCACTATTATTTTCAAATGTCTTTGATATTTTCAGGAGTTTCCATCATTTGTTTGCACGTCCGATCGATCCGCATTTTGTGCCCTATCCTGCGTTTTGTTTGGTGCCCTTCTAGGTGCCTTTGCTGTGCCTTTGATTGAAAAATGTATTTGAATATTTCTTGGAAGTTATAAAATAGCTGAACTGATTTTACATGAAGAATTATAGCATAAATCATAAATCAAAAGCTAAGAACAGATACGTCATAATAAGTATAAACTGTAAACGATAAACACACTACATGAATATTATACACTTGATGTACAAATGCAAGGATAAGAAACTTCTAATGTGCACATTGCAACGTATCTGCAACGCATATAAATAAGAGCTTTTGTTGCTTATCAGCTTATCAGCGAGAAAAAAGCAACATAATTTATCAAAATCACAAGAAATGTAAACTTGTTTCTTATGCCAGCTGTTGCCTAATTCAGTGATACGCCAAACTAGAAAGTAAATCTTATGTTATTCCCTTGATAGTTACCAACTCTGATCTCGCACCGAAAAAAACAAATAGCCGTTATGTAATGTGTCTACCTTTTTCTATTACTTGTTCTGTGTCGTTTATTGAATCGTTTTGAAATGGTGAGATTTGAAATACAGATTTACTGCAGTCGAAGATTGATGTGTTTTTTTTTTATCAATTTGTTTCTAAGCATAGTTATTGCTAATTTTCTTTGACAGATATTAATATTTTGCTTGTTTGTTTCTTCTTTTCTTCAGTGACTATCTATTTTCCTTGATTCTTGTCAAACTTAAACTTTTAAATCCAATAAAATTAAGCTCCATTCATTATTTCAGGGAAAGTAGTTCTCACCATGTTAAGTATGTTTATTACTGACGCATAAGATTGCGACCAAAAAACGTTTGTATTTGCTTGAGGTACAAGTTGCAATTAAAATGAACAACTTTTCATCTTTAACTGAAAGAAACTTTACTTGAATATGAAAATTAAAACATTGATTCATGTGCATTGTTGACAGAACCATATTTTGTATTGTCTGTAAGATTCAAAACTTATAAAGTTAAATAAATGATCGGAAAACCAGACCAAAAAGCCACTTGTCAAATAATAATATATGTACGTGACAAGCTTTTTTTTCTTCATATTAGAAGCTATTTAGATGAAACCTAAACTCGGGTGATTTATAAACATTGCATTCATGAATGAACATAATTATTCACATATTTCAAAATAGCATTTAAACCTCTCCTTTGAACTAAGTGTGCAACAATTTCACATTTTGCCCATTGATAAGTAAGTGATCCCGGGCGGGCTAATTCTGTTTCGGGGAAACCCAAAACGGTTGCCTGTACATCGTCTGCCAAATATTTCGAATTTCCTTCTATAAGGTCAAAATATACAAAGCGGAAACGAACTTTTGAAATTGATACAATAAGACTGTGTGACACTGACCTGGGGAAAGTCAAACCTGCACTCTGCACACCATCTCTTTATGGTTAACATTTTTGTCAATCTTATTTCAACATATGTTATCTATTTATAATTTTGTACACACGTCATCTGTTTCAACCAACGAAAATGCGTATAAAGATTTTCGGGTGATTTGGAATTTGGAAAACTTTCATTGGTCGTTTAAAGTTCACTGTTAAGGTCAATATCATGAATCGACGCATTTTAAAGCAGCGGTCTGAAGTAACGTGAGTGTATTCAGTGAGCTGCAAAGGGAGCGTAATATAGTCGCAGCGAAAACAGTTTTGAAGGGCTGGATACGTGCGTCACATGGATTATGTGACAGCCATC